CAAGGAGAGATGCATTTGGACACCCTGAAGACACGGCATTCAACTTGCACAGACTTCTAAGGTACCTCCTTGAGATTCACTAGGAACTGGCTTCAGTGTCCTTAGGGATTTCAGGCCTTCTGTGAGAAACGGTCTTCCACGTGCCTGATTTGCATCCCTGACAACGCTGCTCCTGGCATCTAGCAGTTAACTATTTTTTAGTTATTTGTTAGAAATTCCTATATAATTATATATAGGATTTACATATATATTGGCTCATAAAGAGTTCTCTAACAAAAATAATCTTGATGAAAAATTTACTCTCTGCTTTCAAAATATTTAGCCATAGTTCTTTCTTTTGACCTCTAAGTTCTTCATGTTCTAGTAGAGGTTCTGCTTTTTCTTGAAGTACAAGGCCTAGTTTTATTCTCCAGCTTCAATTTGCTTTGAACTTGAAAGCAGTATTGTTGAGTCATATTCAGCATCATATCCACAAACTTTCTTCAGTCTTAAAGGCTCCCCTGTACTCATGCTACCTCATGGAGCATCCTTCGTTCTCTACTTCTATTACAGGACTGTCATTTTCTGTTTAGCGTCACTGCCTGGGGTTTACCGAGAAGAGACTGCTCTTCTCTAACCATAACCAGCACTAATGGTGGTATCAAGTCATGGTGTTTTGTTTTTTTTTTTTACCTCATTAAAGGGATACTTTATAAATATCTTAACGGATTTATGCTCTTACTGTTCTATAGGTTGGTGCTGACTCATTAATACCCACTCCAAGTATGACTTTCTTTTACTTATGTTTATTATGGAGTCGTATCATGCCCTGTCAACTCAAAATGGGTGATACTCGTCACTTGTCTTCCATCTTGCTGGTTTATCATCTTCCCATAAAAACAGCTGACTTGTCAGATTTCAAAGCCTTGTTATTTACTGGTGAGCTCACCAACTCCACTCTTAGCATTTTCTGTATATAATTCTGGATGTACATTTTCCTCATTCCCCAGTGAACTGGGGATGAAGGGGGAAGGGGAGATGGAACTGTGGGCATGAATACGAGCAATGTGCCATTTCCCCCACCATCTCATGCTTGTCATCTGAGACAAGAGCAAGATTAAAGAATAGTCTATTTTCTACTGTGAAAAGATAATTAAGCAATGATTTCTCCCATTTTATATAACATTTTGGTTTTCAACACTTTTTTTACATGATTATATTTCATTCTTGAAATTATTTGATTTCTCCATTTTACAGTTCCAGAAAAATTCATTGTTTTTTTTTAAACCAAGGTCACAGTAAATGGCAAAGCCAGATTTTGAAGCCAAGTATTCAAACTCCAAACTCTTTCCATTATATTCACTACAGTTCTTATTTTAGCTTTTATGATCTTTCCTCTATAATTCTTGCCATTATTTAAGCTTCTTAGCTAAACCTAGACTTTTCTGTAGTATACACTAAAGTCAAATAATGTCAGATGGTAAGAATTTACTTCATTTTGCCTCATTAGGGTACATGTTGCCCTACATACCTGCAGAGTATGTTCTACTCTCAACTGAAGGTTCTTATTTTTAGGACTGAGAGTTAACACTGGTAACTTTACTAATTAGGTTAATTGCGCAGTGATGTTTCAGCCAATCTTTCTAATGCTAGAGAATTTTTTCTTTGGGGGGCTTAAGCAAAGATATCCTAATCATATAAGTCTTGTCACTGATGAAAGAATATTTACTGGTGTTTGTTTCTGCCTGTCTCTATAGGCCCAAGATGTGGAGGATGTTAGCAGCCATTGTATGTTAGTTTTTAGTAGCCATAGTATTTTACTTTGGCCCTGCATCTTTTGGTAGGATGTGAGAGGTACACATTAATGTGCAATCTCTACTGGCAAGTAACTTACAATATAGTACTCTGAATTCTTTCTCCAATTGTAGACTGCACAGTGAGATAAATTCCGCTAACCTCACAATCACACCATTGGTTCCAATGGGTTTAGATGAGAGTATGATTTACTCAGCATTATCAGTAACTTAATTGTCACATTAATAGTAAGGAGTATGACACTAATAATGTAATGATAATAAACTAACTATTATACCCTATATCAACTCATGAAGTAATAAAACAATAAACACATTAAGACTAGGTAACACTTGGGAGCAATAACCAGTTTAAATCCCTATAAAGTGAGTGAAGCATTCAATCTTCTATCTCACAATGAATCCTAGACCTGCCATCAATATCCCAGCTGGCAAGCAGAGCAGTTTCATCAATATCACCAATGAGTCACCTTAGCAGACTAAGGTCACTAAAAATGAGGACTGGGAACAAAGCCAATTTGATTTAAAATGAAGTTATCATCTTTGCACTATAACTTTGCTGGGTTAGACACATGTGAAGAACAGATGCCAAAACTGCTACTATATACTGAGCTTATACAGGAGCAAAAACATGATTAGAAGGGGAAAGGAAAAAATAAATCTTTCAAACTGAAAAAACAAAAACAAAACAAAACTAGCCCAACTAACACTTCAATAATTCCCTGAGATGGGCTACAGTAATGTGGAAGATTGTGGCATATACCAATTAGAAATGAGTGGCTCTTTCTCAGTTACATTTGTAGGCCAATGTTAATTTATGACATACAAACAGCTTGTGATTTCAAACGGACCGTAGTCACTTTTTCACATAGTGAACTATGACCCTATGAAAAAATGTCACATTAGGGCACTGCTGATTTTCATTCATAACTATGTGTATATACAGATACACATATAGCAGCAAACACTCAAATTATTATATAAATAACATTTATGGATCCTGCCTTATTTTACTTTTTTGTAGGCAGGATAGCTTAAGGTATATGCAAATTAACTCATTTGGCAATTATAAGTCCATGGGTTGATGGCAGAATTACTAACAAACCAGTTCCTTTCTAACAAAGTCTTAATAAAAACATTCCAACTACTCTGAAATTCAGAAGAAGAAATAGATATTGAGCATAAGAACTAAATATCTAAAGTAGCCATCATCTAAGTATCTAAAATACCAAATGACTTCCTTCTGAGTAGATTCACTCATAAGTCAGTCTTAACTGTAGAAAATAAATATGTTTAAAATACACTTCAGACTGCAATATAAGAGAGATTATTACTAATGTCTACAACAGACCATTCACACTTAGGAGAACCAAGCATCTTTTAGGCATGAGCAAAAGACTGGGAACAGGAGAGGTAGGACAAGATTCCTTCTCTCAAAAAGGCTTATAACACAGTAGCTACAGACATAAACAAGCGTAGAATGTGGCTAGCACCATCATGAAGGCTAAAATGAAGAATCACAGAAGTTCACACTCATAGGAGTAGAGCCCTAAAGGACCGAGAGGATTATCAAGTATAGAAAGAACTTCCTGGATGCTCTAGGAAGCAGTGGCAGCATAAGACAAGAGGGAGCAGTTGAACTTTGCCCCAGATTTTCTGGCATGTTTGACTAGAAAAAAAGGCTGCACCATCAACCAAAATTGCTCCAGGAGGATAAAGGTGAAAAATATGATAAATCCTTTATCTAGGTTAAAATGTCAAGTAGAAGTTAAAAAAAGTACAGATCTAGAATTTTGAATCAGATAAGTAATGCAGGACACTGGGATAAAATAGGAACTCTAAGGATGAGATGCCTACAGAAGAACCAGAAGCATTTAGAGGACAGAATCTGAGAGAGCAGATGTTTAGTAGAAATATTTTAAGTAAGAGTTGTGCGATCATACTCACAGTTATGGCAGAGGGTGGCATCTTCAAGGGAGGAGGCACTGTCTAGGAAAGGCTGCTCAATGGTGGAGAGGTTGCAGAGAAAAGGGAAAGGGATGCAGATGGAGGAAAAACCATCCAGTCGAGTAGCAGGGAGCCCATTGCTGACTTCCAAGAGAACCGTGTCATTACAGTGCTGTATAAGACCCGATTGCAAGGTGCTGATCAGTGAGTGAGGCAGATGCAGGGGCACAGATGTGGGTTTCTCCAAGAAGTCTGGCAGTAAAGAAGGCTGGAGAAACCAGCAGGTTCAGAGGGAGTTGTTTTTTTTTTTTTTGCATTGGAGGATACATGAGCATGTTTGTAGACTATGAAAAGGAATAATACAGCATACAATTCTTTGCATAATTTTGTATTGATCACAAGCCTAAAAAATTAGTTTTAATCTTTTAAAAAATTTTTCTGAAATAAAAATACACCAAAATTAAATTATATGCATTTTATCATTTAAACTTAATACAAACTTAAAAGCACTAACATTTTATGATAAATTTTATTTCTAAAGGAGTCATACAGTTTTTGTTATTGTACTACTTCAGAATTTATTTTACTTCTAGTCTATCATGAGAAATTAAATTTTATTAACAATTACTATTTTAGCTCCAGAAAGATTACTCTGATATAAAGGAAGTAATTATGTATGCCTTCTTCCTCAGCCCTCCTTCCCCAAAGACAAAGTATCTTCAGGGTAGTTAATAATTTTGACAATATTTTTCAAGTTGAAGAGAAAAATCAGAAATAGTATTCCATTATTCATAAGTTCTTAAAGATCTAAATTGTTCTTCACAATTATTTTTCTTAATAAAACATGCTTATTTATTATATACACATGCTTACATATAAATTTCTTGGCTAAAATACATGCAACCACCATGAAAAAACAAATATTAAACCATCCTCACAATCCTAAGAATGCCCTTTTAAATAAGGCACTCATGTTTGAAATAGGATATAACTACCAAATTAAATAAGATGTTTAAAGAAGCCTTTTATTAAGCACAGACAACTTTTAATACATTATCAATACAAATAGGAAAATGTCTTTTGATGAATATGATATATCAAAGATCTGAAGGGTTTTCTCCATATTGACACAATAAAAACAATCAATTTTGAAGAAAAATTACAAAGTAAAACGTGGAGGACACCATTGTCTACTAATAACAGTTTAACTACAGTCTAAATTTATCGCATCACCTGGGGAGGAAGGGCAACCATTTTTTTATATAGAGAATTCCTAAACTCTTATTAGCACCATTCAAAGCTTATTATCAGTTGTTCATCTACAAACTGACAGGTCAGGTAAAGCTTTAATGCAAGTTTTCAGTGCAATGTTTATAGTTCCTTCTTTTAAGATATTTGGGAGTCTATGGTCTCAAAGCATGTTAAATAATTATGTCTTGGTAGTTGCAAGGTGTTAACATGTAGAGAGCAATGTGTCATGAAAAGAAATGAGGCTTATCCTGGCTGTGAAATGCATCTCAAGGTGTTGTGGCTAATGCTGTAGTATGCTGACAACACGCGGGATTACGAACTGCAGAGCTGCGGGAAGCTGGTAGCTATTAGCTCTCTGTGGTCACCATTTCAGGATGTCTCAGCTGCTGCCTTTTGAGACTAACTAGTTTCATCCTGTCTCTGATGTGTTCTGCAGTAGAAGCCATGTCACTTGGACTCCCAAAATATTGCTCGGTTCTAAAATCAAAACACATAGAAAAACCCCAGATTAATACAAATCCATTAACTGCACTGAATGCAAATGGAAGTAAAAATTACCATGAAAAAGCACCTATGTGAGATGGTCTATTAAAAATTAGTTCATTTGCAGACCATACTATTTATCTTTGAGTAGTAATTCAGTAGGAAAAATATTTTTTAAAATGACATAAAATATGTTAAGACATGATGAGAAATATTAACATATTAGCGATGTGAATGTCACATCCTGTATACTTATGGTAATCTCAATAAACCAAATAATGCAACATTAGAAATATTCTGCTTTTCAGTTTGGGGTCTATAAGCATACACAAACATAAAATATGTATAGGTACTAAGGTGCTAAATGCTACATCAACTGCCTAGTAGAGCTGGCAAGTATTAAATAAAATTCACATCCTTTTTAATGTTAAAATACCATTTGGTATATTAATAGAGAAAACCATTTAATTTTATTCCATTTTCAAAGATACTATATTCAGACTCATAGAATCTTTTAGAGCTGGAAGAGTTCTTGGAAATATATGGTTAACCTCTTCATTTTTTAGATCTAAGTTTTTTAGAACTAAGGCCTACAAAATTAAATAACTTAAGCATGGGCACACAGCAGAAAAAACAAGATGTAAACCTGCATCTAAAAAAAGCAGTGAATCCAGAGAGACCATTAGTTTATTTTATTTTACCACGAGAAAGATAAATCTGCGTAACTTGTCAAACTTACTTTTTACATGGTATACGCACATTATCATTATATTAATAATTATGGAAAACATTATACACACCTTTGAGAAATATTTAATTTAGCAAAATACCTAAAATAGACATACATAAATTTCAATGAGTATAAAATGGAACAAAATAACAATTCCAAATTATCAAACGAGGGTGTCTGTGAAATTTGAATATACAATACTTATTCTTTTCTCTTAAAAGGAGGAGGAAATAAGACGTGGACTATCTGTGGAACACTGAAAGAGAAGCCCAAGCAGAAATACCAGGGACAGATGCTCCTAGACTGACCCGAGTAGTCTAGTTTAGCTCAGGTAATTCCCCCACACCTGTAACCCAAGGCAGTATGACTGTTATTATACATAATAACATGTACATGTTATTAGATGAGGGAAGTCATATAGAGAGGTTAAGTGGCTCACCCCAGGTGTCACCGCTAGTAAGTCGTGGAGCTGGGAAACCACACTTTGCTCCAGATCTACACTCTCATCCATCACAGCACACCACAATGTAAGGAGACCTGTATTTCTCTTCAAAACTGTGGTTTCAAATTCAGTATCTTCTGGTTTACCTCTAAGTTATTTTCACTGAGAAGGTCTAGATCATCAGGGATAAAGCTCCTTCTGATTCTTTTACTGATCTACTTATTTTGCATTAGATTATTTCATATTTTTATCATTGACTATTTGAAATGGAGAGTAACAAGAATTCTTTCACACATGAAAAAAGTAGGATGCCATATAGCACAGTGAAAAGAGAATGGGTTTGGAGTCAAACAAACCTGAGATTATATTCTAATTCCAATACTTAGAAGCTGTAACATCCTAAGTGCCTTACATAATCTTTCTGAGCCTCAGTTTCTTCATTTATAAATCAGGAATAATCATACTGGCCTGGTCCTTCCTGGTCGAAAGTAATTGAAGGTGCTTGGCATATATTATGAGCTCAGTAAACACCAGCCCCCTGCTTTCCCCCTTCTCTTTGCTGAATGAAGCCCCAAGTTGCACTGCTCCTTACCATCATAGCCAAGGCTAGAACCAAGTGTTTCAAACTACGATCATTCTTCTACACCAAGCTGTCAAGAAGCAACACATTTGAAGTCAGCAAGTACCAACTGTTACTAATAGCTGTTTGGATTTCTTTTCATTTTAAACCAATTTGTTTATAGAAATTAAAGATGTGGACCGGAGCTAATTTACTTGCCTTTTTAAAGAACAGATTTCCTTTCTTAATGATTTCACTTTAAGACCACACTGATAAAAACATAAAATTATAAGAACATGCACCATACCCATCAGGATAAACTACAGGAACAGTTAATCTATCCAAAAGTGATTTCCCAACAGCTTCAATTTCATCAAATTGCTCTTCATCATTAATAGCTTCAGGCTCTTCTGGACAGTCTTGCAAAATCTGCAACAAATAAAAGGACAACAGCATCAAGAGACACAGAAAGGGAATCAAGCACATGCAAATTTAGTAGAATGAAGGTTTTTCTTTTGTTGTTTTGTTGTTAGCATCTTCACGTATACCATTGTGGATGATTGATGCCAATACTAACTACTGGCAAAGTTGGCTCAAGAAATTCAAACAATAAAATGAAATACAATAATCCTACTAACAATATATAATTATAGTACAAAAAGGTCTATGGTGATTTCTAAGAAAAAAAAATAATACTGGACTTCTATTTGGAAAATAAGTTCAATTAAAGTATTCTTTCATTCAGTAAATAACCATTTATTGAACACTTTACTATATATTTAGTTAAGCAGCTTGAAGTGTGAATGAAGTATATACTCTATCTCAAGGAGCTTATTAACATCAAAAAAGAAAGAAAATATAAATAAAAAATAACATATACTTAAGAGTACAAATATGTACCTAATGTGAAGACTTAGCTATACATTATATTAACAACTGATCTGCTGACTTCGGTTAACTGATGTAAAATGATCACATTGTAATTCAAATATAGGAAGCTCTACAGTTCTTGATGAGATACTATTCTTTTTTTCCCCCTTAGCTATTACCATTTAAATTTAAAGAAAGAATTGCAAAATTTGGGAGAGGGAAAAGAAAAAGAAGTACTTATTTTTGCATTAGACTTCACTTAATTCAATCATGTTTATTTCAGCATTGCTCATAAATGGACATTTTTGTATTTTAAAACTGAAGATTACAACCTATTAAAGAGTTCTAGATTTTAAAATGTCCTTGCAGATACATTTTAGAAGTAATATCCTAAAAAGTTACTGGTGGTGCTAGAAATAGGGCCAATGGTCACCCTTAGATGGTGGGGAAGAGCAGTATTGTGACTACAGGAGGGTGGGGGAAGTTTCTGGGGTGCTGGTAATGTTTTGTTGTGTGAACATCACTCTGATTACACAGGTGTTCACTTTCACCTGTGTAATTTCACCAAGCAGAACACCAATGGTCAGTACACTTTTCTACATTAACAGTATGCTTTAAAATAAAAAAATGCATTGAAACAATCAAGAGATAAACAAGTAATGCCATTTGCATACTTTCATTCATCATCATTAGGCCCATTTTAATCAAACACTGATCTGTAGAGTTCAGTGACCAGCTGAGAAAGACTTAACTGTAAACACTTTCCAAAAGATGTACTTCATAACATAGACAGAAATTTGCTTAATTATTGAGGCTCCTTGGAACATCCGTTCTGTTCTACAGATCAGGCTATCACATTTACAACTTAGGTCTGCCATATCTTGAAGTATATTGAACATTCCCTACATATAAATTTTCATTATAACAGATCAAAACAAAGTTAACTACATAATAAAGTTCCTCTCCTGAATGGAAATGTAAGGTTTGGGTGTAATACATTTTTACTGTGGAGAGTAAGAAAAAGGTTCTATTAAAAATTTGCCTAAATAACATGGCATATTTTACTTTTGGTTTCTGGAATTAATGACTTTAATTTGTTAAAAAATAAGTTTTAGAATGAATCTTTAAAGATGACACAGAAAAAAGGGTTGTTACCCTTATTCTCATTTTTTTATGTCTCTAAATTATAAAATCACAAAATACCTTTTTAAAAATGTGTGACAATTAGTAGTAGTTGCCGAAGCAAAGTTTCCTTTCCTGGCATAATGAAAAGATTAAAGTCATGATACTCTAACGAATGGAGGGCACATTCTGGACATTAGGTTTGGCCAGGAGAGAAGTAGTGTGAAGAGAGGAATACCCAGGTGGTTCTGGACATCAGTGACAGTACTCCAGCACTGATATGGATTAAGCAAATTTAATTTGAACTCTCTAAGACAATATATTATATCTAAACAAACTTTAACAATGGAACTAATATAAATATTGAAAAAGTCATATAATTATATTATTAAAATTAACATATTTCAAACATACGCAATAAATACCATTGAGAATACATTTCAAAAAATAAAAAAGCAAACCTTTTCAGCATTAGAGTGAAATGCAATAGCCATTTCCAACCTATGCACTCTCTCTTCAGATGCTATTGTAAATTGTTTCCATACTCTGTTTAGTCGAGGAAGCGTATCCCCAGATGATCGAGAAGTGCAGCGCAAAGATTGGCACAACACAACTGTGGCCTGTAGCAACTGCCTACCATAGTCATAAGTGCTCTAAAAAAGAAAAAGTAAACATGAAATTATAATAAGAGAATTCTAAAGAGAGGATGGGGTAGGTGTGCAGGAGCACTGTGGTTGCAATTAAGTGACACTAGTAGAAATCAATACTGAAGAAATTCAGTGGCATTTACTACTACAGATTATCTGCATGCATAAATAATAAAGGGGAAGCAATACTTTTAGTTAGTTTATAATAAATTTCTTTCTTTTTAAGGCTTCCCCCTCTTATTCTGTTAAATTTCACTGGCCAAAAAGAATGTCTATTCACTAATTAATCAAAACAAGTGAGTGAAATTAGGTACTTTATATTCCATATAGGAAACCATATCTATTACAATATGAACTCAGTTACTAGGTAAAATATATTAAGATACTTTTCACCACAAAAAATTTCTCTATTATGCTAACACTAGTAAGATGCAGAAAGTGGGGTTTCGTATTTACTGATATTAACATATATTTCATATTAACCTCTGTGAATGAACAGTTGGATTGCCTAAAAAAAATGCCATAATACATAACATAAAGCAGAGGGAGCATACAGAACCTGTATTTGGGGAACATAAACCCTCTCAAGTTTATGCAGGCTAGTTTTGATGCACCAGCTGACATTTTCTTAATTTTGTGATATTTCTGGAATAACAAAACTAACCTTCTTGGACTTGGAGGGTAAAGTTACATTATAATCATGCAGAAAGCTATTCAAACACTGAGCTTGTAGAAAAGGAAGATAACCAGTTCTGCACCTGTGCAACATCAACAAATTTTCTATGCTTTTCCAGCAAAACTTTCGTTTCTTGAGTATCATCGCCCAATCTGATGTGGGTCTTAAGCAGAGCATCCAGAAGTTCACTTAGCCATTCCACAGCCTAAATGAAAATACGCAACAGTAAAGCTGGATTCACGACTCTTCACTTATTATATCAAAACATCATAAACCAAGATTGCTATGTGAATAATCAATCCATTAATTAATACTTAAGTTCTAAAGAGCTTATTTCATTTGATGCCAAGCTAAATGAATTATGACCTCTATTACTCCTTAAAATTTAAATTTAAAGGCAAGACCTACTAAAGAGAAGCACTTTTAAACAATTAATATCACATAATAGATCATGTATTTCTATAATTTAGATCTACTGGGATCTCATTAGATTTGTTTTACTATATAAAATCACAAATTTCCTCTATATCAAGCTGAACTGATATTCTCTGATGCTAACTATACAAAGATATCAAATTGTTTATCTGGCATTAAAAATTCCCTTGTGGGTTAAAAAGCAACGTGCTACACCAGCCTTTATCCCGGGATTTAACCAACAGCCTAGTTAACAACAATAAATAATCCCAATTTCTAGCTCAACAGAGAATTTCACTGAGAGGATTAAGTCAAATGAGATCAGTAAGCTAGCTGGGAATACCAAATTTATTCTTCAACAGGATAAACTAGAATCTGACTTAATGAATTTGCTTTCTTAGGAGCATGAAAAGTATATGGTCCTAAGAAAGTCCTTTTGTTTACAGTTAAATGAAATCAATCTTCTAAGAAAAGATAACTACATAATGTGGCGGACTGGTCCTTACCTGGGCAGCATCTTCTTCACATTTAAACAACTGCACCATCTGAAGCATCTTTAACCTTCGCACATCTACCATATCTTCACATCTAATAAACCCAAACATAAATGTAATTCATCATTTCAGTTTTGTTGACTGCTATTATAACATCATCATCTGGCACACATTTTATAGTATACTAAGATACTTAGTCCTATACTACAGAGATAGCAACTATTTTGTACTGATTTGTAAGAATTTTAAGGATATCTATATCTATGTTACATCAAAACCTCAAAATACCTGAATGATACTGAATGACAAACCCTCTTGAGGATAGCATGGATTCTGCAAAATATTGAAGCAAAGCATAAACGCAACAGTACACTAAAACCCAAAGAAATCTCCATTGCCAATTAGCATTAAACAAGTTTCAAAGAGACAAACGTAAAGTTTCTCAAATACTAATTTAGAGGATGATATTCCAAGGAAATTTTTAAAAACTAATACTCTTCATTATATTATATTACATACAATAATATTTAATTCTAAATTTAAAAAAAACTCCACCTATATTCTCAAGAGGAAAAAATCTCCAGTGATCTCCGGGTACAGAGAAACACAATTTTTAAATCTCACTGTGTTCTGGTTGGATAACATACAGATTAAATTTTTAAGGTGACTTGACCTAACTCAGCTGTGGTCCATTTCCTTCATTCTCATGCAATGCCATATACTGCAGGTAGGAGGGGGACTCCCACTGTAGTCCCAAATACAAATAACAAGTTACCCAATGGCACTGGGCTCTACACTACAGTTAATGTCCTTAAATAAAGCTTAATAACAACACAGAAGTAGTTATTACAAGGCATTTTTTAAATAAAGATGCACTCAATAAAACTCATAACTTAATGTAAAAATGCAACTTGGTTAAAGTAATTCCACAGTGGATTGAAGGAAGTGATGATGATAATTATTTTTAAGATCTGAAACTAAAAAACGATGTAAGACACTTTAATGATGTAGGTGATATCATACATATACTGTATTCAATACATCATTTTTCAGGTATTGGATAATGTACTGGGGAAAAAATAAGATATGGTCTCTACTATCGAGATGCTCTCATTTGGGAGATGGACTTTTAAATAAACAATGTAATAAGTGCCATTATGGAACTATGTAAAAGGTTTTATGGGAGTAGGGAGGAGCAAGTGACTAACTTGCCTTAGAAATCCAAAAAGGCTTCCTAAGATAAGTATCCCTGAATCTTGAAGAACAAGTAGGAATCCACTAAGCAGAAAATCAAGAAGTATTCTTAGTTGTAGACACATGAAAGAGTATGATGCATTCAGGAAAATAAAAATAGTTGTGTGATTTCGTGGGAAAGTTATAGAAGATAAGATTCTGCATGATTGGATTACAAAGGGTTTCCTACATCATTCCAAGGAGATTGAACTTCATCTGAGAAAATGGGAAGTTTTCCCAAGGAGGTTTTATGCAATCTTTTCACTGTATGAAGATTATTATTGTATACAACAGCTGGAGAAGAGCAAGGCCAGAGGCAGATAAGAGATAAGATCTCGAGCAAAGAAATGTTTGAGATTCAGAGACAGCAGAATTTAAACATTTGATTAGGCTGTAAGGGATAAAGAAGAAGAAGGATTTTAGGATAAATCCCAAGTTTGGTAGTTGATGGTAACATTAACCTAGGTAGGAAATTACAAGAGAAGAGCAAGTTTTGGGGGAAAATGATTCCAATCTGGACATATTAGGTCTGAGGAGTATGGCGGGGCATCCAGCAGGAAACACTCAGTAGGCAACTGGATTCATGGGTCTAGAGTACAGGAGAGGGTCTTGGTAAGAGCCATAACTACTAAACCATGAAAGTCATTAAAATGGTGAGATTGTCCAGGGAGAACATATAAAGAAGAAGATCTGACCTTAGAACAAACCCTAGAAGCAGTGACCTTAGCTAGAGGCCAAGAAATCAGTGAAGAAGACCAAGAAGAAACAGAGTGTCAGGAGAAGGATCATGAGGGTGTTTTCAAGGAAGACAAGGTTGTTAGGGAGCTTCAAGGAGAAAGAAAAGGTCAGTCATGTCTACCAATAATCAAAGTAAAGCAAGTCAGGACTAAAGTACTCCCTGAATTTTGAGTAAGATCCAGTATTTATTACATAGGGCAATTACAAAGTTATTGGCAACACCAGTAAGACCAAAGGGAATGAAATAGTGAGGGCAGAAGTCAGACTGAAGAGGGTTCAAAAGTGAATTGGAGGTAGTGGGGAAGTAGTATGAATGCAGGGTAGACCTTCTAATAACTTAGCTGTCAGGAAGGAGAGCTCTAACACTAGAAAACAAAGGGTTGAAGAGGAAGGTACATGCATGTGTGTGAAAAAAAAAAAAAAACAGGAGAGATTTAAGCATTTAAGTGAGGGGCAGCAATCAGAGTAGAGAATAGGAGTTGAGGGAGTAAGGAGACAAGAGTGTGACTGGAATGAGAGCCTACCTGGAAGGATAAGCTTTGATATCAGGGGTGCTCTATTATCCTCTATGGTGAAAATAATGAAATGGATAAGTTATGAGGGCAGGATACAGAGGGAATTTCTGCCTCATGACCATTTTGTGATGTTGTGTGATTTTGTATGACCATCTTTGTGATGTTGGGGAGAGTTTCTCTGAAGTTTTGTTGATGATTTCAAAATTTCTAAGTGTGCAAAATTTCATATAACCATGCTAGACTGTGTACACTTGTATAGATAATTTTAATCCTCTACCTTCTAAGACTTCACAGTTGCTATGGCAAACTGAGTTTTCAAAGAATATTTTAAATTCCTAGTTCTACATCAAATGAAACTAAATATCATCATTCGTCCACTGTCTAATCCTTCTACTATGAGAGCAATGGATGTATGACATTATATAAGAAGTTTAGATGAAGAAACAGATCAATGTAGATGACAGATAGAAGAACAACTCTCAAATTAATGAAGATGGAAAAGCAAAATTCTCCAAAAAGTATTCTTAAAGTAGAGCAGAGTCATAGGCTACCGTGTGGGTATGGAATGTGAAGTACTTGAGTTTAACGGAAATTTTACTACCAAGTAAAAAGGGAAAAGGTACCCATTAACTGAACAAATTGTTATTATGTGTTAGTACAATCATATACAATAATTACTACATTCACCAAAAACCTACTACATGTCTGCTATTTAACAGATAAGAAATTTTAGTTTGTATATAAAATGTAAATTATGTAACTTTTCATCTTAATTAATATTATGTTATCTTGGTAAAAATTAACATTAACAGTCAAACTTTGCCTTTGTTTCCTAAGTTGCATATCTTCCATCACTCCTTGTATGTGGTCCACATTTTCTTTATTTTCAATGGTTACGTCCTTCCCATAAGCCCAGGATGCCTGATTGGAGATCTGATCCAGGAGACCTTGACCTTTTTCACGCAAACCTTGCAATCCCACATCTACAACAAAAGTTACTAGATTTAATCTCTTAAACATCTAAGGTGCTTTCCCTGCCTCAATAAATCCTCTGAGTGGATACTGTTCTTGGATTCTGAGTATAACAGCTTTGTACATTAAACTATCTTGGGATGGAGTCCTATAAACATTTCAAGCAATAAAACCTCTTTAAATGTGGCTTAAACTAGAGTTCTCTCTCATGCCAAATTCTCCCGAAGCAGAATTTTCAAAACATGAATTTCCATAGATAATAATAAGTTTTAAAAACTGAAAGCAGGAAAAAAGTATGAGAATTTCTATTTTGAAGAGTAAGATTTTCCTATTTTTTTTCTCTTTCTGCTTTCATGTAGTCCAACTCTTAGGAGAATAAGGCAAATATTAATATTTTGTTTAAAAAATCTGTAAGATTTACAAGATTTCAAAATACTCAAATAATGCATTATCAATACAAAAGATGCTGAACAATGTGAGTAAAGGTACAGTCCAGTTTATACACCAGGGGAAGCAACATGTAGGATGTGTTTACAATACTCCAAATTAGATATGTTTATAGGAATTCTTTTTTCTTTTTCAAGGAAAAGTGTGGCTCAAAAAAACTTCTGACATTTTAAAATAAATTTCATTTGGTGTATTAAATATTAAATATGCATTATGCATATCATCTGTTAAAATAACAAAGGCTGTAAGCAAGTCAAGTGTCAATACAAACACAATTTTTCAAAACAATTCCCTCAAGTTGTTTTCAATAGTTAATTAATTTGGTTTAATCATGTGTCACCACTTTCTAAGAATACTCTGCCTTAAGTTCCTGCTTCCTCCCCTCCATTTTTCCTTTTCCCCTCCTGTCCCTCTTAATATGACCCCCCCTTTCTTCCCATTTTTATATCCTGACCCAGGGAACTTCACTGTATTTTCTACTGTAGAAAAATTTTAAAGGCCTTGATGCTGAATGACAGAACTAGCTTAATATAATTGGACCCTTCTCCCCTTGGAGAGTATGTTAACCCGGTAATACTTCTAGTTTGGAGAAACAAATGCACAGAACCAAACCAACTATTTTTTCACAAGGTTAGGATATAGCAACAACAAAAATCATTGCATAAAACACAATTTTGGGCATACAGGGTTCACCACAGAACACTTCACAGCTAATTACAGTTTATGCATGCACTACAAGTAACTGTTCATAGTATATGCAAGACATAGCACCTGTAGATATAGCTCGGTAAACAAGCCCAGTGAAGGGAGGAGTGACTAACCAACAATGAGAAATAAAATTTTCAGCATGAAAATTATACCCCCTCAAGGGAATAAATCTTTTTATACTATTTTTCCTGTGTTTCCTGCAAATAATTATAATTAGTTCAGTGTAAGTTGACTTAATTGTCTAACATGGTAATGATATTTTACAAAAAAAAAAAAACCCTTATGTTTCAGCATTTTTAAAATCTGCTTACCAACACTTTTCAGCTTCTCTTCAAGCAGTTTTAAAGTTTGCTGAATCGATGCTCCATCAGCTGGTGCTACATCTACGCACAACATCCCTAATAAGCCATCCAACTGCTGAGACAACTAAAGCAGAGGGACACCAAAGAGATAACCCTGATGTAATCAGCATCTAAAGTGTTTAATGATTAATGAGGTTTATATCTAATGAGGTTATCACAATTACACTTGAAAAGACTATGCTGTTAAAAGACAAGGACAAATAATTAGGATACATGTTATCTGGAAGACAGAACACACAGATGCATGCATCAGGAAGACAAAGAAGTACATTCAGGTCAGCGGAATACACAAAATTATTGATGCTTCCATTTCCATCTATGTCATAAAGCGTAAACACTGAGAAACAGTCCAAACGAAGTATATGTACTAGTTTGGAACACTCTAGTTAGACAATAAAAGGTTTAATTGCATGCAGAATGACTTAAAAATAAAATTTTTTTTTAAAAAATCAAAGATTTTATCTCATTACCCCCACCAGCAAATTATTTTATTGTTCCAGAAAAATAATTAGGAGGCATGCAAACCTGCAAAAATTATGTGTAGATAAGTATTCAGATAATTTGAAGAAAAGAAAAGCAATCAGAATAAACACTTACATCCTGGGCAACACCATGAAATTCAAGAGCTGCTTGTAAGAGATTTTGCCTAAATTCCAGCTGGCTGGCCTGTCGATAACAAACATCACTAAGCTGTTGCTGCAGTGACTTGAGTTCCACAAGATCTTCCTCATCCCCAGCATTCAGGAGCGCTGCAATTTGCTGATTAAGCTCCACATATACTGCAAACCATTCCTGTAATCAAGATGTTGCAAAGTAAATTAAGGATCAAATTCTTTCCTGAAGGACATTACATTTTATAATTTCTCCAGATAAATTAAGTAACATACACGAAATTTTTTTCTAGGGAAGAGTTATTTAAGTTGAGGACGAAAAGTCTCCAACCTCCAAATCCTTCTACTGTGATCCCTGGACTTCGAGCCTGCCAATAGCAAAATCTGCTATATCCTTATCCTGGCCTCCAAATGTTCCCTTTTCTCTCTTGCTCTAAATGAAATTTGTCCACCCTCAGAGAAAACAGGCTTGCAGCCCTCTCAACTGCTTACTGTTTTTGTTTCACACCTGACATACTGCAAGCTGAAGGTGGGTTTGATGGTCGCCTTGCTACTCATTACTGCTTCCTGACCATTTCCTCTCCCTCTTCTCCTTAAATACAACATCTCCTTTGAAGTGCATGCTGTTCTTTCGGCTTTTCCTGTCGCATCCCCTCATCCACAGAGGGGTTTAGCAATGGTCACTGTCTTCCTCTCAGTGCCAGGCTTGTTACTGTCTCCTCCATGCAGGCAACCACCAACACCCTGAACTTTCAGTTCCTTGACTCCCTCCTTCACTTCCAACCATCTTGCCCTCACTCTACCTCAGCTACCTACACCATGGGCCATAAAGACTTCTCATCATTTACAGCTCCCAAAATCTCAATTTCATGAATCCTATTCTCTGACCACCAGCTACTGACTCTCCGACTCACCTCTGTGAGTATGCTCACACCTACCACCCCATGGAGTCCACCAATCCACTGACCTCAGAGTGCTCTACTGTCTAGCACACGGGAGCCTCATGTCTTCACTTCCCTCCTTGGGCAAAGGCTGTAAGCACCTCCCTACATACAACCTTTGCCCAAGCCCTGCTCGCCTTCCTTCCATCAGACTCATGTCTTCACTTCCCTCCTTGGGCAAAGGCTGTAAGCACCTCCCTACATACAACCTTTGCCCAAGCCCTGCTCGCCTTCCTTCCATCAGACTCACCTGTTAAAACTTCAAACCTGGTTTCTCTGCCTAATTGTGCCTATACCAGAGAGCTGAACATGGCCAGATAAAAACAACTGTGCAGATGGGTCTCTTTTTTAAGTTATGACTAAATAAACTCAAATGGGTCTTTGGCAATCCTTTTATATTTCTCTAGTCAATTCACCTTCCCATTCTTGTGATTATCTATGTTTTTTTTATTCCTTATATCTCCAACTCCCTTTTCACTCTTAGCCAAAGATCTTACTTCTTAATTCACTGGGGAGCAATCAGAAGAGAACTCTCTCATCTTCCCACAACAAATGTACGACCTTCCCTTCTTTTCTATCCCCATGCTCTGTCCTCATATGTAATGGGTGGCCTGTCCCTACTTTGAAGGCCAACCTCTCCACTTGTGCATTACAGCCTATCTTCTGTTGCCTACACAAAGCTTTGCTCTTGCAATTATCTTCTCTCTCCCCCATCAATTCTTTCTCAATTAGATTATTTCTACCAGCACATAAAAAGATATAATATATTATACAACAAAATATACACTTAAGATTTGTGTATTTTACTATGTTGAAATTAAATCTCAATTTAAAAAGAAAAAAAATAGTACCTCTCTTAAAAGAGTTCTCTGTACTCATTCTTTTCTTATTTCCCATTCTCTTTATAATCCACTTTAATCAGGATTTTGTCTTTCCTACACTGTGAAACCAACTGTTTCAAGTTCACCAAAAAATTCCACCTTACCAAATCCAACGGTCAATTCTCAGTCTCCATCTCATTGGACCTCTCCAGCGCATTTGGCAGAAGTGAGCACTTGCTCCTCCTTGAAATGCCCTTTTCTCTTGTTTTCTGGTACACAATAGCTCCTTTTAGCCTTCCTCCTCTTGCCCCTTACATGTAGGTTGACCCAGGGTTCACTTTTCAGAGGCTGTCTTTTCTTCTAAATCAATACTAGGCAGGTTTAGATGACTTTATCTAGTTCTATCCCTTTAAATAACAGCCATAGGATAATAATTCCTAAGTTAGTATCCTCAACCTTGACCCCTCTCCTGAAACCCAGACACTGATACCCAGCTGCCTACTAGCCATCTTCACTTGGTTAACTATTAGATATCTGTTAATAAAATTTAATCTGCTCCCAACCTGCTTCTCTCCCAGACTTCCCCATCTTCATAGTTGCTAAGGCCAAAAGCCTGACGCTTCTACGAGCAAGTCTCACTGGCTGAGCCTCGTGAGCGTCTCAGTTTTCATTACGTCCACTGCCTCTGTTCTATCAGCCTCTTGCCTTCCACTGTCACTGCCTGTCCCCTCCCTATTATCCACACAATGGCCAGTGATCTTCTTAAAACATAAATCAATTCCCTGTTCAAAAACCCCTCCAATGACTTCACATAACATCTAAAATAAACTTCAAGCTCCTGTTCATGGGCTAAAAAGACACCACCTGTCTTGGCCCCTGACTGCCTTTCCTCTTCATCTTCTGTGGCTCTGCCTTGCTCCCTGTCCAACACCGACATTCTCCTTCCTCAGTCCCGTTCCTGTCTCGAGGTATTTCTACTGCTGTGTCCTCTATCTGAATTGTCCTCTGCTTGGATTATTCCTTCACATCATTTCAAGGTTTCTGATTAAATGTCGTGTCCTCGGAGAGGCCTTTCCTAAAAGCCAAACCTATTATTACTCCCCACTCCCTGTGTCCCCAACTTGAGTGCCAGTTCCATGTCGTAAGACAGTACTATATTGTAAGAGCCTAGAGGAACACGTGACATAAAGTGTGTGTTCAATTCACATGTGTTCAATGAATGCATAAAACATATTAGGCATTGTGGATTTATTGACAATACCTTAAGTAGGCAACGGGGTGATGTTGCCCTCCAGGAAACATTTGGCAATGCCTGGAGACAGTTTTGGTCATCCTAACTGGGAAGAAATGCCACTGCATCTGGTAAGCAGAGGCCAGTGATGCTGCTAATTGTGCAGAACAGCCCCTACAACAAAGACTTACCTGGCCCAAAGTGGCAATAGTGCTGAGGCTGAGAAATCCTGCTCTGTCCAAGGGTGGTGACAATATCTGTCTTACCTACTTTGCTGGTTTTTGCATAGATTTAATCATATAACATATAAAAATACTTCTAAAACTATATAGTTATTATAATGGTTAATGGAGACTTTTAGAGTAGAAAATATTACCTAAAAAAAATTATCATTGTCATGTTCTGAAATAGAAAAGGATTTCACTGCCTTATTTATAGTACTTATAAATTGTTAGTGCTCTAAATAAATAGGCCTGATTTTTTGAAGAAGTATTAGCAATGATTCTAAGAAGAGTGGTAAACTAAAGGATTAGAGTCCTAGGATAGTATTTCTCAGTGAGAATTACCCACATCAGACCAACGGGGGTACTTATTAAAATGCCTAAGCTTCACCTCTGACCTACTAAATCAGAGTTTCTGAGGGTGGGCCCTGGAATATGCATTTTAACAAGCACTTCTGATGACTCTTACGCCACTAAGGTTTAAGAACCACCATTGTGGAGCTGATATTTTTCCTGGTTTGAGTTTGTAAAATAAAGCCTCTAGCAACCTGACCAGAGATGTAAATACAATATAAGGACTAGTATGTCTCAAGAAATTAACATCTGAAATTGGAGACACTCATATTACTGACTGAGGTTGTCACAAGGGAATAATTAGTCTCTCTGGGATGAGGGGGAAAAAATCTGGCTTATATATATGTACACATTTAAAATTTATCAAAATGTTTCTTCCTAGAAAGTAAAGGAACATAGAATGTATATAGAACCTTAGGTGAACAGGCCGCATTCAATTTACTTATGGCCATTCTCCGGTCTATCTCTTACATATATTTAACTATGTAGAAAATGATTATTTTATAGCAAAATAAAAAATCAACACCAAGATTTGGGATTTGGATTAAGATGTAAGCAAGAAATGAGCTTGAAGGTTCACATTTAGGACAGAAGCAGTCAGGACTGACACTGCAATCATGTAAATTGGTGGTGATGTGTATTTGGTGAAACCATGGGTATTTATACTTTATGTTATACCATGAAACAGGAGTCCCTACTTAGGAGGAAACACCGCCAACTTACTTAGGCAATCAACTCATTTGATTATATTTAGAATCTACGCTAGGGAGAAAAAGGTCTTCATTTGTCATGGAGATCTGTTCTGCTGCTCACTATGAGGCACAATACACCAGCATTTGGTCTCTTTGGAGACTGGAAGTCAGAACTGAGGGACAGCGGGACCCTGACAAGGCTCTGAACTAGCCTCAGATATTTATGCTCCTGTACATTCCTATCACATGCTTCTCCCACCACACACTTCCCTCCACCAAAAAGATAAAATTAGATTTATTATTAAACTAAAATATTTTTAAATTACTTGTCAGCTACTATAGTCATTTCCATGTACCGTAATATTTTTTTCTGTTGTGTTGTATTCAAAAACCAAACCAACTTCTACTCCTTGACAAAAAACTACATATTAGTATGGCTGGGTGCGGTGGCTCACGCCTGTAATCCTAGCACTCTGGGAGGCCGAGGCGGGCAGATTGTTTGAGCTCAGGAGTTCGAGACCAGCCTGAGC